CGGAAATAATGCTTATTTTGTACTACGGCCCGGGTTAGGATCGAAATGAACAACCATTTGAGAATGATGCATCGCTCATATAATAATCAAAGACACAATACGAACGATAAGTACGTCCCGATGTCGTATATAGTTAAAGTAAGTTTCCAATACAGGAGTCGATAGTGCTTCTCTACACTGGACTAAAAAAAACACAATTGTATAATAAGTTAAAGTTCATTGTTATATAAATTTACCTTATAATTAAAATGAAGTTCTTCATTCTGCCAATGTTTATCTATTTTGTTCTTAAAAGTATTTAAATTTGGAGCGGATACATCCTCCGGAATACAACTTAAAACCAAAAATATTAAAACAGATGGTCTCAGCAGAGAAATGTACCCATCTCAGTTTAGAGTTGATCTATAGTTAAAACATTTTAATTCTGTGTGAACTTCTGTATGTACTGTTTGACATTTGCAAGACGTTTACTGCTTCTTTAGTTTAAAACATGTTACAAAAGGTTATTGGCTGCCGTCTCTTTTGAGGCGAAATGTAAATATTATACACCGAGCGTGCTTACCTTCTTTTAATATCATATCTATCATTTATCCTTACCCCATCAGTATATATGACTCATGTTTGACACTGAATTATAATAAAAACTACAAACGTATATTGGTATTAAAATTGCATATATTTATTATGTAAATACTGCATGATCGACACGCTGAAGTCAGAACACAAGTTCCTTTTCGTCGTCTTCCGGCTATTGGATGTAAGATAGCATTTCCGTTTCTAAAGAAACACAACTTTAAGGACTTCCCACCCTTCGTAATACACATGCTTTACTTGTCGTATTTTCGTCTCGTCATTTACGTATTGCGTATCGGGCATTCCATTACCGTAGTGTTAATTATAGTAACACCGGGTAAACAATAAGTACACGTACGTGACGATTATATGTCAACACTCAATATCGAGACTACTTGGAAATGAAGCGTATGATACAAAGGTATAAATTGACTCATTGACATACGATCAGACGACTTCAGGAAGGTCGTTTATGAGGCGCATCGAATTCAGACTGATGTGTTTTATTTACACACCTGCACCTTTCACGTGCTAACACTAGTTCACAAGCTCGGGGTCGCTACGAGTTTTGTTGTCGAGTTACGCTCTGTAAGGCAATCATTTCACAAATGCTATAACAATAACTCTGTGAAAATAGTGTTTTATAAAATATCAAGATCCCTATAAATTGCTATATGTACCATGCAATAGCCTATGGTTACATATGTACCCGACATGTAAATATTCCTGGCGTAAGCGGGCTATGGAATGATGTCCAAAGCGTACGTGATTGAGAGTAATTTTAATCTATAAAAGAACAGTAAATAGACAGTTTTAATATCATAAATTCACTTGTTTCCGTCCTTTTTTGGTGAAGTCAAGAAAATAACTCATTTTATATATTATATCCCTCTATAAAACATTCCGGGTTTTTTCAAGGTAGACAACTCTCATCAGGATCTAAATGATTGTAAAATGTCAAATAAATGAATTATTAAGGCTTAATGTATATTTGGTTCAACTTATCACTCTTATTTTTATTAAACTATGTGACCTGTTTGCTTTTAGCTTGTATATATAACTACTTTTATCCATACAATTTCAATAAAAAGCACTTTGTGTAACGCGTTTAAGATATTTTATGATACATACAATATTTGTAGGGTTGATTAGCATTGTTTCCTTTCATTATTTAATGGTTGTAATAGTTTTGAACAATGCAACTCGCTCAAAAAATGTGAAAGTGGTAAAATTTACAAAAATTCAATTTTTCGTCTTTTTTTACCAAAAAATCCCCAGTTTATCGGAATGTGTCGATTGTCATAAAATCGTCTCTACATTGTGACATAACCTTCATGTGTAACTTTAATTGAATTCTGTTGGTTAATTGTAACAGGTAGGAGCCTCTTTAAAACGAAATAAGTACTGAACCCCTCAGCCTACAAGCTGATACTAAAAAAAATCCTCCCACCCGTTCTTAATGGCGCGAACGAGGGATTCTCCGTCAAAATAAAAAGGCTCACAGGTACCTGGGGTCGAGACGGCTTTTTTTCTCCATTTCATTCTATTTATTTTGCAATAGAACGTATTCCAGTCTCACAGTGCAAGGAAACGACAATAGCACTAAAAACTGAAGTTCGAAATAATGTCCCGCCGATATAACACGTTCAAATAATGTTGTTTTTTAATTAAACATTTCCTTTTTTTAAAGGCAAGGTACCATCACAGTTACCGACAAAGGCTTGCAATATATAATATAGAAGGAACCGCCAGAATCTTAAAATAGAAGTGACATTTGTGCTGAATCTTTAATTACCGGTCCTCGCATAATTTTTTAATGAAAACGTGCCACTTTTATTGAATAAACAACAGCTACATGGATTCACAATTACCTCGGTCACTAGAGATGTTTGAAGTCAAACGTCAGCCTCTTAAATTACAGGCCAGGCCAATTAGCAGCATATAGGCCTATAGGCCAGCCGATATTGCGGGGCATGGCTTGGTGACTTGCTCACCGATGTGTGAACTGTTAAGCACTTAAATCAGTTATCCCACGTCCAGTGGGGGCTAGTTGCTAATTAACATGTGATGACAGCTGACATTAACATTAAACAGCAACATTATAGCCATATATATATATATATATAGATTCATTACAATCGAAAACATGGTTTACCGAAACGGAAATGTTGGAGGCGACTATAAAATCGAAAGCGGACGCTGAAATTGAATCCGGAATTCATTCTCTTGCCGTCGGGTTGGGATTGAGTGTCAAATAACATTAACAGAAGAAAATAGGTTTCCGAGAATTGGATATATAAAAAAGTAGTTATTGGTTATTTTTTTCCCAAACAAATTAATATTAAATATTTCTAACCTGGGTTAACAAGAACATCCCTCTATAATTTTTTTTTTTAATTATTCTTATTTTTTGCCATTTATGTGATTTATTTACTTTTAAATGTTGATTGCTTTATCTGGACCATGTAAACCTTCCTAAAATCCTTTAAAATATCAGTAAATCTTCAATTTTGGCTCTAACAAATTAAATAGAGACTTCATAATAACACAAATGATCAAATACTATGGTATATGCTGTATTAATGTTTCAAATATCTCACAAATTTCTCACTAATTCAGAGAAAAATCTCACTAAAAATAATCACTAAACTCGCTATTTTGCACCGGAAAGTTATGGCATGTATGAAGTGGGTTGATTTGGTATGTAATGTATAAAAAGCTGTATTTGATGAGAGGGTATAATTGTACAAGTGTGCAATATTTTGTTGAATATATAGGTAAGTGGTTGTTATGTTGGGGTTTTTTGGTATGGTACATAGGTGTGCTTGGTTGTATGTAGGTTTGCCGAGTTAATTATTTCTATAATAAAGGAAATATCTTATTATTTCATTATCTGATTAAGTAACCAGCATCCGTGGAGAAGTTGATTTGTACTTTTGTTTTATATAAATCATAGTATAATCTGTGTTTAACGTTGAAAAAGTGTCTCATAGGTCAACTTGTATCAATTTTGTTTTTATTATTTTATTATTATAAGGGTTAATATATATAAGACATCCAATCGACACTAGCCTATAATAACAGTTGATCATGCCGTGTACACAAACGCTGACAGTACAACTGCCATGGAGTTTGATTGGCAGATGTATTGTCAAAAGTGAAATTTCTTTGTACAATATGCATGTCAGTTATAGCCAGCCAAACTCCTTTACTACCCATCGCTAGCCGTGCTTTTTATCACTCGAACATAATTTCACGAGCTGAAAGCAGCCAAGAAGATTGCTGTTTCAAGATGGAACCACCTGACGACTGTCATCTTTGTTTATGTCCAATATGTAATGGTAGAGGTGTGCCTTTACGTGTATTGCTGAAGCACATCAATAAGATGTTGGAAAGTGGCGACATGGTATGTTTGTTTGAATGCAATCTAAATTATAGATAAATATATATAGCTTCATTGTCAAATGGCACAGGTTCCAACCCAGCGAGAAAATTATATCTCAATTTCATGTTTAAAACCGGTTAATATTGTTTCCTGTGTTCATCAAGAGGATGCAAAAAATTATTTCTTTGTTTATTGCATAAAACCTTCCCCACCCCCCACACCCTATTTTTATCAACACATTTTAATTTACAGGTTGAAGATTGGATGCTGAACTACATGACCCCTCGACCAACTTTAGAAAAGTTAAAGGTAATGTTTCTTTTTATTGTAGGTTTAACTCAACTCTGTTTCAAATTCAATACATTTTATTGCTGCATATAAATATGATTTTTTTTCATCAAACAGGCAAGAGTCTACATGAGTAATTCCTTATCCTGGTTACAACAATTGGTATAAATGTAAATTCCTTTACTGCGACAGATAAAAGGGTTTCGAATTCAATACATTTTATTGCTGCATATAAATATGATTTTGTTCAACAAACAGGCAAGAGTCTACATGAGTAATTCCTTATCCTGGTTACAACAATTGGTATAAATGTAAATTCCTTAACTGCGACAGATAAAAGGGTAATAAAAAACTATCAAATTATTACTATTTAGAAAAAAGTTCCTAAAAAGTTTCCAATCCTTTTGATATAGTGCAATTCTTTTACCGTTAATAAAGTTATGTTCTAGCTGAAAAAGTACATATACATACATATTCCAACACTTTCACACTGCTATATACATGAGCATCCCTCCTTATACACAAATACCCCTGAATACCTCTACATACACACCTAATAATAAATACAGGCACTCCCCTAAATCACACTCAACTGTTATATATCTATTGAGAGAGTATTAGTCTCAACTTATTTTGAAATTATAAAATTTAATTACAATCACAAAATGCAATCTTAAAATGTAAAAAGTTGACAGAAGACGGACGACACTATTTCTTGAAAATATAATGACCTCGTCTGTCCATTTTTGGTTGGCTAGAACTCTAGCATAATCAGATCCTCTTTTTCGACAATGCAGATGTCCTCAATATGTGGCCAAACCTTGATTGCAGAATTGGTTGTATCTTTTAAAAATTTAACCAGAATTTCCGGGTCTTTCTCCATCACCTGTAATACACAAGAGAAATACATTCAGTTTTATCTTGCTACTGCACAGCAAAGTATCATAAAGTTTATTTACTTTAAAACAATTATGAAACAAGTTATTTCAACTTATATTAATCACGCTTGTTGACCCTGATGTTAGCGCGCAGGGGATCTTATTGTGAGAGGAATTCAGAGTACCCAGAGAAAACCCATGTGGTCGGGCAGGTGATATGATACCAAAGTATTTTCAAAGGGAAATAATTACCCAATGCCAATGTACAGAAGGGAAAAATCACTCACAATAGTAACAATGACAGTACTAGATTAGTAACAACTATTCCATGAGCTAACAACTCTAATTTTCTTATCAAAATGGTGTTGCTCCTTTTCTCAGAAAGATGATAACATAACAGCTTTTCAGATTTTAAACTCTATTTCATAAAACATCAGACTACTACTTTTGTATCTCAAGTAATGGTCATGTAATGGCAAAATGTTTCAAAACATATACATGCTTGTTATTCAGGAACTTACCATTCCGGAAAAGTGTTGAATAGATATTCTCTTTCCTCTTGCCACCTCAAATTTCACTTTCACAAATTTTCCAATCTCCAGCCTGTGAATAAATTAAAGAAATGATGAAAAAAATACCTATTATTGGTGTGTGAGATTAATAGATAAGGGTTGTTCACTCCCGTGGTCTACTTTAGGCACAGTGACCGTACACACGTTTTTACATCTGTATTTGAAACTAACATATCACTGTATTCATGTATAACCAATAATTTCAGTGACATTTCCATGTCAAAATTCAGAAAGATTAGAATTATGTATGCCAAGAAAGTCTCCAGAAACGCATGAGTGATAGACCGACACTGTGATAACCAAAGTATAGGGCACCCATATATCAAAAGCAGGGCCCTGAATTTCAACTATAAAATGCTAAATTTTGCTGTCAGATGAACAAAATGGTTAAGTTCAGACAAAATGTTAAATTTACCTTTGTTTGCTAGAATGGTCTCCCTTGTCTTCTGCCGCAACAATATTTTGGTTGTCATCATCACTATCCTCCTCCTCACCATCCTCTTCATTTTCCGCCTCCTCCACACAGCCAAAATCCATTGCCTCACCATCCTCTCCATTTTCTTCCTCATCCTCCACACAGCCAAAATCCCTTATCTCGCCATCATCTCCATTTTCCTCCTTCTCCACAGGGCCAAAATCCATTGCCTCGCCATCATCTCCATTTTCCTCCTCCACACAGCGAAAATCCATTGCCTCGCCATCATCTCCATTTTCCTCCTTCTCCACAGGGCCAAAATCCATTGCCTCGCCATCATCTCCATTTTCCTCCTCCACACGGCCAAAATCCCTTGCTTCGCCATCATCTCCATTTTCCTCCTCCACACGACCAAAATCCCTTGCCTCGCCATCATCTCCATTTTCCTCCTCCTCCTCCACACGGCCAACTTCCCTTGCCTCACAATCATCTCCATTTTCCTCCTCCTCCACACGGCCAAAAACCCTTGCCTCACCATCATCTTCATTTTCTTCTTCATCCATCCAACCAAAACCCCTTGCCACGTCTAGATGCACCAGATCATCAGGGTAGTTGGTCATGTCCCCATTATCAGCCTCCTGATTTGCTCCTCCATCCTGATGGTTTTCGATATCCATTCCATCGTCATCATCATTTACACCTTGGCGGTTTGCTTCATCATTTGCTTCCTGGTTGCCTCTTCCCTGGGCTTTTGAATTGCGTCTAAAAGGCACACAAAAAATGTGATAATTATGTTGTGGGACCACTATTGTGCAAGAATTTGTCACATTAATATTTTTCAGCTGTTGTCACACTATTATTTTACAGCTTAACTTCTCATACCCTACTCTAGTTGAGGACTTTGACACAATTTGTATTAAACATTGCCTTTCATATAATAGATATCACTTGGCCGTTTTATTCTGATCTCAAACTCGTGTCAAGAAACAGATAAATCTGCCAGGATGCAACCTTTGTTAATAATAAAACAAGATTTAAATCCTCCCTTCATGAACCTTGCACTTGACAGTTGTCATTTTCAAGAAACATTTCCCCTCATCATGAATAACACTACAAGTGTAAACTCGTGTAAACTCCAGTCTTGAATTCTTTCATTGCTTTTCTTCAAGATGTTAGGTAAATACTAGGGTGGCAACTAATTTGCTGTTATTAATTGTGAGTGACCTTGACTATTGCTATGAAACATTTGACAATGAGATTCATCAGTTTAGAATCTATAATAAATGCTAACTTTGTTTTTAACAATAACAGTACTTGTAAATTGAAAATTATGCAATTGATGAAGATTTTGAAAACGTCCTTTTCCTTTGTCAAACAAAGAGTGCAAATAACATGTGTCTTGCCCCAACAATTTCTGACAGCTTACTGTCTTGCCACAAAGGACTGATGACTAACTTTTCTCAATAAACAGTAAAAACAATTTCATAAAACACACTGTATTGAGGATTATAAACGTGTACAGAAAGTATCAACTTGTTACTATATTAAAACTTGTAATGCAATTACAGTTTTAGTGATAGATCAAGTGTCAATAACGGTGAAAGTTTTATGTTGCATGCAGCGAAGAAATTCATATTTTTAAAATCCTGTTACACTAGATAAAAACAAGATTTGAATGTGATTTAAACCTCAGAAGAGCAGATCCTTAATATTGTTCTGATACTTGTCTCTGTAGCTAATAGAATTTTGATATAATGGAGAGCTATAACAAAAATATTTTTGACATTGATTTCAATAATCAAACTTTGTGTACGATGTGGAGTATAAAACCTCAACAATCATTAAGGGCAAATTATCTATTTATGTAACAAATATTTGTAGTAATCTATATGTCTTTTACTAATGAAACAATTTATGAGAGCATCTTACATTTAAAACGAACAATTTAAATATACATGCCATAGTGCATCAATGTGCGAAATTGCAAACATTTTTATGACATTCTAGAAAAATGTGTCAAACTGATCAATAGACACAATATCTATTTCACTTCATGTATGCAAGAGTCTATCAAACTGATTTATTTTCACATTTTTTTTTTATTCATTAACACTTTTAAAAGAAGTACATGTAACAACTAGCACTCTAAGCTGAAGGCTAACTGATACCCCCTGCTCCAATTTAAACCAGAACTGCAAGGTAAAGGCTAACTAAGGCAAAGTATCAGTATTGCAAAGCAATCCTAAGTCCCCCGCCAATAAAGATTTCTTTATTTACTGTACACTTAATTTAGTATATAAGTCAGTGACATACTGACTGTACTTTCTGTGCCAAAACATACTTGTATACCAAATCCTGTTAGCCTAGATTAACCACCAAAAAATATGTCAAAAACAAACTTTTTCAGAGGCTGAGGTAAAAGGTAAAACAACATGTCACACTGACCTACTTTTTGTATTTGACATTTCATCATCCAATACACAGTTACATAAACTTTATTCTGATTATAGGAATAAACATATTCTTCTGCTGTCAGTTTTATAACATAAATTAAAGTTCAGTAACAATTTAGGGCAAACTAAGATATCACTCTCAAGCGGCCATATCCCAAAATTGGAAACATGGGAGAAAAAGGTATGTTTCACACAAAAAGTGATTCTTAATCGAAATGAAACAAATGAAATAATAAATAGGAAGTACACAACCAGATGATGTCAGGACAAGGATTTTTTCAACAAAGTGCCACAACTCCGTATAAAGGGTCAGAATGAAAATATAATACCTGGTTGAACAACAACAGGTGTAGGGGTATAAATAATGGATATTTTGGTTTGTTGTGTTAATTACTACAGAAATAATGTAGAGGAAAACCAGATTGTTTCATCATTTTCTACACTACCCAAAGTATTTGTTTATTATTCAAAATGATGGAACAAAAAACTTTACTATATTTACCTTATTTCCCTTTGGATCTGCAGTCGGATAGTTTTTTCAGCTAGAACATTCTGAAATAATAAAGTAATATATAATAACCATGCAAGTAATTTTATAAAAAAATACTACAAATACACATTTCCTTTTCTCTGATATGACCTTTGACCGAGGTGAAGGTCTTGGTGTCTTAGATATGATGCTGGCACTGTTCAAATTTTGTCAATGTTCAAGGGTTTAAAATTTACATCCAATACACTTCCTTATGAAAAATTTACTTTTTATTTGACATCTGACGTCGTTATGAGGGTCTAGTGACTTACATACAGAACATTGTATACCCGTGGATGGTACTTAAAAGTGTTGTTAATTTCATCAAGATACCCGAGACAATTTAAAATTTATGTTATTTCAGTGCACTTCTAACCTGTATTTTATTTAACTCATTTAAAGTGATATCAAAAACAAAATTATATCAAATAAAAAAACATGAAAACCAGAGGATAAATCAGGAAAAGTCATGGTTTTGTTTGAGTTGATATGATAAAAGACTATATAAAAAGAATCAGAAAAAAAACATATCTACCATGTTAAAAGTTAATTTACCCCTTATCCCTCAAGTACGGTTTAAAATGTATGGCCAAGACAAGTTGCGATTTAATAGAAAAACCAAAATAGTAAAATCAGATAAGGAAGAATCAGAAGAACCAGTACTAATAGAATGTGTCTCCCTTCATCAAAATGGAAGACATAGCAAGCCTTTTACAAGTATAACATTCCCCCTTTACCAACTTTTGTTTTGATGGTATGATTAAGGAGAGGTTATTATTTCAATGTGAAACTAATTTAAAAGTGGAATTACTAATAATTTGCCTACATTTGAACCAGACTTTTCAGCATCATATTATAGGCATAAACTAGGAGCCATAAATCAAAATTAGAACTTAATTTAAATTACCTCTTGGTACAAAGCCACTTTGCAAATGTCATCCACAGGCCAAATGATGGTATTTCCTTTCTGAAAAAACACATCCCATACTGATTGATTTTTTTGACTTAATTTGCAAATCAAACTAAATTATAAATTTCCCGAGGAATAAGAGGCTATGGTTGCAATGCCAATTCAGAAACTTAAATATTGATCATTGGACCAGTACAATGTAATGTATCAAAAAGCTTGACCAAACATGACAGGCAATAAATAACACTTTCAGCCCATCAGACTTTACAGGTCATCTTCAATCCCAATGTATAAAAGTTCTTTAGGACATAAAATATACCTCTTGTGTATCTCTCTCGTATGTATCAACAAGGTAGACAACTTATATTATAACTTTCATTATCAATGCACTAGACAGTTTTATAAAGTATAATCAGTCCAAGACCTAATGCATACCCGAGGATTTGGTAACATATAAACTAAAAGGTGTTTAACCAGTCAGAGTAATAGGAACCGACATACATTACTGACATATGCAAGCTTTCCCCTGTTGACATGGGCCCTATTTCGATCAGAATTTCTTATATCATGATTCTTTTATGCACTCACCTTGATCTGGGCCCATGTTCTCCTATCTTTATTGTATGGTAAAGGATCTACTATGGATCCTCTCCTCGTCTTTCTCAAAATGAGATGGACATACTTGTCTTTCAATGCTTCTTCCATATCTGGATATCAAAATGCCCAGTATTAAATCAGTGTTTCAGGTAAAATTTAACCCTAGTTTGTAGTTATAAAACCTATACAGCATTTTTCTATTAAGACAAACATAAATCTTTCATTATCCTCGAAACATCGTAACATGACTTTGTTTTCCTTTTATGAAAACTGTATATTTTTAAACATTTATCAAGGCATTTCCCTGGATAAGGGAACATGCAATATATCATTGAAATATTGAATCGCTCATAAACATACCATTTTTCACAACAGGGTAGCTTATAACAGCTGCTATTGCCACAGCATGACCGTCACAGAAAAGAGATACTTCAGTACTGAAAATTGAATAAATATACAATATCATTTCAGGGTTAATACAATAAGAGATCAGTCTAAAAATGTAGGAGGAGAGGAGATCTTCGGACAAAATTGAAATACTGAAATGTACAAAGGGCAATAACTTTTTGGAAAAATTGTTAAATCAAAATTCTTTTTAATGGAGACGCAACTTCATATCATGATTATAATGTAAACCAAGTTTCAAATAGATTGGTTCGAAAAATGTAGGAGGAGATTACCGGACAAACAAAGTTTACGCCGGCCGGCTGGACAACGCCATACCATAATACTACCTTCAAATTTGACGGTCACATAAAAATAGAAAAAAGTCATTTCTAACAACTCTCCGACTAGAACTGTTGTAAGAATAGCAGATTAATACCCCCACTTGTGCAAAGAACCATTAGAATATTTCTTTCCAGGGGGGGGGGCATAATTCCATAAAAAGAACAGGTAAAGCGAATTTAATATGAATGTATTACCATATATATATGGGATATAAGGGATCTGTCCTGAAGTGTCACATGGTCTTTGAAATGAATGACCCCCAAAGGACTTGTATTATCATATTATCAAAACAACAAGTTCAAACACTGCTATAGAAGGACAAGTACGAAACAAGACATAGATTTAGGAGGTAGCACCAATCTAGATTCTTGATTCACATCCACTTTATGGAAGGGGTCTGTTTACCATAGTGAAATCAGTGCATTTCTTGAGAAAAAAAATGTCTCCAGACAGGCGATAAGACATTCTATTAAAACGTAAAGCCCAATCCCACACAACTTTAGGTATTATATAACTGAATAACAAGTTTCCTAAAAATCTTAATGAAATATCACCATGTTAGAGTAATGCCTTTTTTTCCATTTATAGAATTAGTTGCTTTTGTATGGTGAAATGGAAACTAGGTCTCTCAGACAAATCTTATGAAATAAAACAAATTATTGCAAGCAATCCAAAGTCCCCAATTTGTTAACACAACCAAGACATAAATTGAACTCCAACGTTGTGTAGTTTTGTTTTCAGATGCAGATTATACTTACTTGTACTGCAGCTCCTCTCTGGGCACCGGTACTTGTTCAAACTCTAGCAGTTCTGTTGCTAGGAACTCTCGCCCTCTCTGGACAGGTGGATCGCTGTACAGCCTAACATAATGAGAAATAAACATGTTGATGAAATTTGAAGTTAAACACACTGAATTTCATGCTTTAGTTTAATGGCAGTGACTATTAATGAAGGACTTTTTTATTAACAGATTTTTTTTTTATATGCACAAATGATTTATTTTCTTACACATTTGTTAATATTTGTATTTGCTCTCTTTCTCTTGGCCCTCAAAGACATCTTAATCAAAGGTCATAAGGTATAATAATGAATAATAAAACAAATCATAACAATTTTTCAGACAGTCATTTATAGATGATGCACCTAAAAATACAAATCTTACTTGTCAGAACGTAAAGTTTTCAGAAACATCAAATGCCTTGATATCTTTTTTCTGATTGATTTTGCTGTTCCGGTACGTTCAAAAATCAAGTTGGGACACATCTGCTTTACCTGTCAAAATGAAAATAAAAATATTCAAGCATTGTACTTGGTATACTTTTTCACAAGATAATTTACAAGGTGGTAGACCCCTTTCTTGTATCATATAAACTTTTCTCAACATACTGTTTGAACATTTGAAACTTTTTTTGAGATAATACTCACAAACAACATCAGGTCTCTGACTTGTCGGTCACGCATCCCTTTGACATCATATTTCTGAACACCTCCTCTTATAACAGCCTTTAAAAAAATCATCTCTTTTATTTCTACAGTTGTTCCCTTGAATTCATTTTGAAAATAATGCTTTCATATTTAAACATGCATCTATATCTACCATTGATGACTTTAGATTTATTGTATCAATTTAGCTAATATGCCAAATTTGGTTTGTTAAGTGAAATTTTTAATTTTCCTTCATATTTTTTAACCAAGGTTTAATTATGTGAACACAATTACAATTTAGTGACATCCCTCCCAACAACCTAAAGATAACCTTAAATCAGAAATTTTAAATCAAATGAGCTTCTGCTAATATGATGACTTCAATTTGTTGGTATGTTATGTTTCAATGGTACAGAATGTTTGGTCAAAAGAACTTATCAAGAGCCCATGCACAGAACAAAAAACAAGAACTTTTGATGTATTATTTAAAACTAGTTAAAGTAACACTGAAATAATTGTCAGACAAAGAATAAATGTGACATTTTTTTGCATAAATTATAATAAATATTAATTTGTTTATACATACATTTAGGAAACTTCTTCCTTCCTTATATACCTTCCTGTCGTGTACGTTTGAATTTGGAACTTTCTCCAAATAGTGTCTCTCTTCAAATTCGGTACTGGGGGACAAGAATTCCAGTTTCCTTGGTACAGTTGTTGATGGTCTTGTGTTTGAAGGTGGTGGTGTAACCATGACCTGTGCTGGTGGATAAAATGTTGGTACAGGTAGAACATTAGGGCGCACTGGAAGGTTCAGCTCTGTATTGCCATAGAAGGCTTGTTGCTGGTAAAAGCCTGTAATACAATGAATGTAAAAATTTGATAGAATATGGATAAAATATAACACCGAAGAAATATTCGATAGAAACCAAAAATCTCTATTTTTCGTTATTTTTTTCCTATGAAACGAAAACATAAACCAAACTTCCAACTGAAATTGTAGTTTTTATTAAGCCTTAAATAAATAACTGATGTGTTTGCGTCACAAAGGAAATTGTCAACTTAAGTCATAATCAAAGAAAACATTGAAAAACAATTTGAAAACCATTGAATAAGCAAAGTAACTGTCAACAAGAAATGTCTCAAATTTTTCTCCCCATAAGATTGATCCTAATCAATACATGTTCCATAAAAATTCCCTATATCTTCCTTCCCAATATTCTAATACTTATTTTCTGCAGTGGAAATCCTGAATGTACTAATATTATTATTTTTTTATTACTCAAGGTAGTATATTAGTTTCAAGTCAATCCATTGTGGACGAGTCAATGGTAATGCTTCCTCCTCTAATAGAAACCACTTATTGAATAGGTCTTAGTAATATTATAAATATAGCATGCACTGATGTTAAAGATGCCTTACACAACTTGAAGACTGGTAAAGCTACTATAGTCCCAAAGTATTCAAGGAAGCCACAACATTGATTACTGAGCCATTATCTATATTTTTTAATAAATCCTCACCACAAGGAATATTTCTGTCATTGTGGAAAGAAGTCAATGTTTTACCTTTGTAAAAAATGGTTAGAAAGCTACTTAATAAATAGATCATAAAGTAATAATTAAATTCACTCTGACTGGGTGGAAATTAAGACTAGTTCCATAGGGTTCAATACTTGGACCGTTGTTGTTTTGATAGATTGTTTTATGTATGCATTTTTTTCTTTACAATACTAAGGCTGTCAAAATGTATTGGAAAATTCTGTATCACAATACACAGGCATATCATACTGTATCACAATATTGAAATAAAAAAAACATTGTATCTGTAAACTTATTAAAATACTACTGGTATCTACATCAGGAAAGGTTTTTAACTTGGCAAATTACTACAATGTCTCTTACTCCTGCTGGTGTCAGCTTGTCAAATTGGTACTTGCTGGGCAAGCAGAATTTTATTTCAGGCAAGTGAATCATTAGTTTCAACTTGCCCGGGGACTAGCATTATAAAAAAAAAAAATACATGCCAAAAATAATCCACTCATGATGGAAATCAATTAAAATTCTGTATTCTGTGTGATGCACAAGATATACAATTCAGTTTGATATGATGACAATAATTTCTTTCAAAATTTATACTTTGACAATATATCGGGATACTAATCCAAATTCATTCTTTCTGTATTGCTATTGATATTTTATTACCTCTATCCTGCTTATTGGGCTGTTGCTGTAATTACACCTGTACATAAAAAGGGTTTACACTGATCCTAACAATGTTAGGAGTATATTTATAAGTAAAGTAAGCTGATTAGGAAAATTATTCACTTCTGTTTTAAATAATAATACTTTTTAAATGGTCAGAAACATATGATGTAATAATAACTGATGCCCAATTTGGACTTTTGGCTGTTCATTATAGATGCTTCAAATTGACCATCGGATATGTATTAGAAAAAAGCATTTGTGTGACTGTTATGATAGTGTATACCGTAAGCAGGGCTAACTGTAAACAGTGTTGTTTTATAAAATATCAGCAGCAACAATAACATGAACATAATTATGGAAAATGCAATAATCACTCACGTCACTGAACTGACGGAAAATTAAAACAAAATCAAACCAAGTATGATATTCATGTGGTAGTAAATTAGTTACAAGTGGGGGAATTTTTAACTGAAATAGGGGGAAAATAAGCTGAAATATGGGAAAACTGCCAAAATTGGAGAGGGGTATTGGCCCACATGCATTCCCGCATAAAAAAGGCCTGTTATATACCATTGAATATATCAACGAAATATCACATTTATTAAACTTGAATCCGTACATCGACCCATTCTTTGACTGTAGAATTGAAACTGTTTTATCAAGCTTGTACACTGTATTGGGGGGNACGAAAACGAAGTTGAAGACTTTGAGCTACCAGCTATAGAAGATAGTATGTACATTGTATGACATCATCTTAAACGGTACAATTACTGAAATAGAAATAAAAAGGCGGTAATAATAATAATAAAGCGTGTGGAACGGACAGGATTCTCGATGAATATTTGAAAACTACTATTGACTGTTTTTTACCTATGTATATGTAAAACTTTTTAATGTAATTCTCGACACAGGTATAATCCCAGAATCATGGACTATTGGGTAAATTACACCAATTTATAAAAATAAAGGGGATGTAAATGATCTTGATAATTATAGGGGAATTACTCTGATCTCTTGTCTCGGTAAGTATTGGAGAGAGTTTACTTTGTGTTTCTATAATTATACAGTGGTTTATGCGAAAGGAAGGGATAAGTGACTGGTTAGTTTGATTTTTCCATGAGGCCCTCCAAGGGATAACTGTTGTGATGACCCACAGTGTATTTTCTGGATCACCGAGATACGTGTTATCGAAGTCTGTGGATTTACATAATTTATAATATTACCGGATTCAATAAAATGGTATGATTTAATTATATTGCTGAATTAAAGATTATTTTTGTTTTTCAATGCAAGATTTAAATTAGTACTTATATGAATAACCGGCCTCCTCTGCTCCGGCAACATATATAAAAAAGGAAAGGTTTGTCCCTTGGTGTAGGGAAGGTGTTTAGCCACGTACATGTACCATCTGTACCAGCCACATATTGGCAAGTGTGCAATTAACTTCTAATGATGAATAATTACTGTTCAATAAGTTTGAATACTGACTTAAAAATCATATAAATTGGTTTCATAGTGCGGTTAGAAGTAAGAAGTTGCCTGACCGCCCCTCTCTGGGGGCCCCTTTGGAAACCGTTTCGTCTCGCTCGCACCACTTAGTCAGGTGACGTTATCGGCGCTATTTTTAGCAGGGCTTTCCCGAACAATTCAAGTGGTCCAACTGGACATTTGGAACGGACTATGGATATGGGGATAGCTTGGTAACATGCTCGGAAGTGCATAATAATTTCGGTTGCCAATACACGTGTATACACATAATTAACCAACATGCATTATTACAAATTACATCAAATAGTACTCAAAATCTCGAACCGACCCCATTTGGCTGAACACAGAACTTTTTGGTGGAAAACACAAACGCCAGAGTCCTACGAAATCTTTAAGATATCTACAAACGGGCAGGGCAATAGGTCTAGTTCATAATATCATTTTCGTTGCTAAAATGATTACCTGCAAAAACATCGTGACTTCACCCAGGATCCCATACAGAGAGAGATAACCAACAGACTCTTTTCAAATTACTGTTAGGGATACAAGCATGCATGGGTGCACGCGCGCGTAAAAGCGGTCTTCATAAAGAGTGCAAAAAAGGGGAGCAACTAGTTAATTACACCATGGTTCATTTCAGGTGTCATACCGCCGTCTTCGATACAATATTATGCCGTGGTCATCATTACACAGTGACGTTATGATTTTTTTTTTACGTTCGAAAACAAAGCAAGTTAAACACGGACAAAATATATCTTTGGAATTTATAAGTGGCATTTTAGTAATCGTTTCGATAATTCATTATTCAAAAGAGTCCAATATATTACATTGAAATTCTGTAAAACTACCTCACAAACTCGAGAAAAAAGTTTTATTTACCAATAATAATTTTGAGGAAATTGATTATATATTGTTGAAGAATCCATTTTAAATAAATAACTATTGAAAATGAGATACAGACCCCGTACTGTGAACCTCAACATTCCAAGGTAAAGTTATCTGGGTGGTCATTTTTAATGGTAGTTGCCCCGAGGCTAGTTTGGCCCGATCATCTAATTGAAAAGGGGACACTGCTGGCTGATGGAAGGGAGTTCAAAGTAGGGGTTGGAGGTCGGTAATTAACGAATGCATATAACGATCAGATGTCTGACCCCCGTTGTTTTAAGCTGGTACAGGTAAATTGTATGCTCGAGGCGATGCAGGCACTTACAATAATTATTGTTGGCTAACCCTTGGGCGACATAACGACGCAACAACAAATTTCGAATTTTATATATAGACAAATATTTTTGGACGAGACCAAATGTAATTAAGTTTTATGAATTGATGAATACTACTAATATAAAAAAAAACTGAAGAAACTTTGTACTTTTGTTAGAATAATTAATAAAAAATATTTGACCTCCTCGATATAAATGTGTATATATTATGAAACAGTACTGTGTACTACCGACTACGAACACTACAATTACTACTACATAATATATTGTAAATATGTTTCTCTATACATTGTATTGTGAAAGAGAATAAAGTTGAATTGAACTGAAATTCAGATAGATTGCTTTCACTTTGTCACTAAACTTGGAATTAAACATTATAAAGAAACTGATACCTGATCGAATTGAACTGAAGGCAATAAAGAAAAGAATCGGTGAACCTATCGAATCAAATTGTTGATGGCAATTTTCATCAATTGGGGATTGGGTAACACAAATACTAAACATTCAGACTAGTTCGGCGTTATTAAAAAAAAACTTGTTATCAACTAACTATTTCAACATGTGTGTATTTCATTATTTTTGCTATCTTTGGTTTATATTTAGAGCAGTGTGTATAGATCACGACACGAATAACTGTTGCAGTTCGTGCTATTTTGAAAATAAATGATGACGAGTTATTCATTCACAGAAAAATGTCTTTATAGATAATCTAAATGTAAGGAACACTGGTATGAATGAGATAATGTGCATTGGTCTTAGCAGCTTTATATGAAACACAAAGACAAGTGTCCAATTAAATCCAGATATTGGGCCAAGTTGTTCAAACTGTGATTAGCTTCATCACTGTTTAACGACATCTTTCAACCTTTACTAATTACTTCAATATACAAGGTAAAAACTCGTAATTTTACATGTACATTTAATCTACTAAATACTTTATATCTGGAAGTTTTGAACTAGGTTGATTATTGTTTCAAAGATACACAAAAGTTGAAATTTGCGCTAATCACCCTTTGAACAACTGGGCCCAGGGCAACTAGGTGACATCAGTTCGAATATCCGATTAATTTGAGGGACAACAGCCTAACTGGAATTACTGAGTATTATATTGTTGGTTCAACTTGAAATACTAAGTAAAAGTATAAATATCATTGAAATGGAAATTTGAACGAGTCTTTGTTACAATGGAAGTTCGAGTCTAAATGTAGGATTTGAAGAAAACTTTAGAAAAAAAATCTTGGGACGAGGGGGACCTTCCGCCATCCATTCAGTCTAAAGATATATTCCCCTAAACAAGCCCTTAAATAATCCCGTATCTACCCATATGCATTCGGTTTCAAAGCGGAGACACCTACACACTGTTCAGTTATTATATGTACTGATAATTAAAGTACTTCTTTTTTTTATTAATGTACTATGATACCTTACAGTGTATTTTATGACATTTAATTTAAAGCGTTATCCTTTCAAAAGTCTGTTATCATCGCCAAATACTTATTTTACTTATTATGGGTATGTATAGTATGTTCGCTGTCTATAATCAACAACCCGTCCCTGCAGGTAGGGCGTAAGAATTGTACCTGCTGCCCCCAATCGCATGATCGTAAGAGGCGACTAAATTTGGAACCTTATCTCTTCTCTCCTTTCTAAATAACTTTCTTCTTCCTAATGTCTCCCTTGACAATGCCTCACTTTTGGCCATTTGTTGAGCGTTCGCCCCTGTGAGGAAGGCTTTGGGTTCTGTCCCCTGGCCGAGACATACCAAAGTCTTTAAAAATGGTAGTTTCTACTCCTGCTTAACGCTCAGCAAATTAGGAGTGGGACGACTGGTTCGCCCGTTGTCAGTATAATGTGACCGGGTGAGGCGTCCTGCTGGGTGTCTTCGGCAGTATGTTTCAGTGAGGTAGCACTATAAAGTCGGCATCAGTTCCGCGCTATCACAAGGAGATAAACACGAACATATCGCAGCCTCCCAAAATACACACGCATACACTACACGCATGCATCTTGCACACAGGGGAGGCCGTCCTTAAATGACCTTAGCTGTTAATAGGACGTTAAACAAAATCAAACAAACAAACAGACTATAATCAACAGGAAATCAACAAAAATAAGTGCAAGAAAGTGTTATCTTGTCATGTTTATAGATAGATAAGTACCTGCAAGTGAAATGCCTATAAATATACAAATAGGTCAAAGATATCACGCGCCTCGCCTCCATTATAAAATCAAAAAAATATTTATGTAGAAATCCCACGACAAAGATTTCTCGATATTAACGTATGAAAACATAGTAAATGTATTTTGACTCACCTGTCCAAGGGTTATGTGAAGGATCTTGCATGGTGACGTACGGAGTCTGCATCTTTGTCTGAAGGCTGCAAAGTCTTTCAGCACGTGTGGCTAATTGCGGACACGAGTTCAATATATACTATATGGACAAATCCCATTGGTCAGTTTACCAAATAACTCATAGATCATAGTAGAAAAAACACTCATCACAATATGCAAACAGGTGTGAATGGATATACCAATGTATTGTATAACTAGTAAACAACACGGGTACATGTATGAATAGAGTTGGATTTTTTTTATGCATTTGCAGGTAACTGCCCGGTAGTTGCCGGTAGCCGCAGGTAAAAGGACCAGCAGGTGTGATCGCACCACCCGCTGGTATCCATAGGCGTAGACTTTTCAATATACGGTGTATACATTTACCTGTGTATCTACAACGCACGTCTTGAAAAGAGTTGTCACTTCTAACAGGTAAAAACTTTGATGGAACCAAAATATGACAACTCGGCTTCCCGCTTTAAATCTTGTATAGTACACCATAATAAAATATTGATGTTTATTTTAAATATAACATGTGATCATGATTTATCTGTTATAATATATCTTATGTTTAAAGCTTAAAATAATTAAATAATCTTAACAACGACTATTGAATCATTAATAATAGATAATTTGATGTGTATACCCCACTCTCCTATTCCTGCAAATTTTCATCGTATTTTTTTATAAACAAAGAATATCATATTTTCCAACAAACTGATGGTTCCTTAACAATCTAATTAAAATCAGATCTCTCATTACACCACGTTATAATTAGATTGGTTCCTTAAGTAAAAGTTATTAGTATGTATACAACTTGTAGCAACGATCATCTTTTAAATAACACACACATATATATAGTGCATCATCACGAAGACTTTGTTTATCGCTCATACAAAATTACCACGGCAAAGATAGTTGGTAATCGCTTACAATTACAAGCCTTTAACTCATTCACCCCTAAAGACACATTTTAACTCTTCCATTTTAAAGGTTGGAATAGTTCATTATGAAATTTCAGGGGTGAATGAGTTAATGCCCTGAATCTTTTTATTGCATTACGTCATAATTCTATAACCAAGACTTTCTAATTTATTCCCTACAGATTTCCGCAGTGCTTGAAAAAGTTAATGATAATCAACTGTATTTGCCTTGTATGTGCCGGTAGAAATAAAAAAAACAACACAAATGTACAATTACGACAGGTTGTTTATATCTTATCGAATCAAAATACAATTTGTGTATTAAACACTCTATTTATTGACTCGATGAAATAGCAAAAACAAATGACAAAGGAAGAATTTTGTTTTACTCTTGTCCGGTCCGGGCCTCGAACTCCCGACCTATACGGCACGTAATCGCCTCGCCTGTATTCACCTACATAGATATTCTTAGTGGGGCATATAAAGCTATTAATTGCATTTTGAATCTCATAATCAAACATGATTTTTTTTATTGCTAATTATAAAGTTATGATTTTTTTTTATAATTTGGCTTGCATAACAGTGCTTATTTTTAACCTGTGTTAAAAGCCATTCAGGACTGGATACATTATATATATATTTTTGACATTTAATAAGAATATTTTGATATTGTGCCGGGCAAATAAGTTATCATAGTTGAAATACCAACAACTCTACCATACAGGACGATAACCAGGGGTGGGGGTCCTGGAAGACAGGGAAGATCCATGGTTAGGATCGGCGGAGCGGTAAATCTTATGACACCTGGTATTTCGTGTGATATCGATCACCGATACTTTGTATCGTGCCTTCAACAGAATATGGAATTAAAAAAAATGAGCACATGATATAATTATTTGCTATTAAGTCTTCAGAAGAACTTATGATATTATTTTTCTAATGTACTTATACCGCAACATTTGCAGGAAACTGAAACCATGACAAACCTCGGTCGGTTCTTGGCAGACGAAAAACACCCATGGAAGAAACCCGTCCATCAGTTCTCTGGGGTTCCCATTATTACATATACAGCATTCATGTTAGAGGTAATAATTGAGTTCATATTTCAAAATACATACATGTTGAATACACAGTACAATAACGTCGGATAGTTCATTAATTTTGTGTCGTAATCTTCATTAAACAAACAATTGTATCCGGTGAATGAAATATTGAAATTAAAGCCTTGACCGGGCCTCGAATTCAGATTCGTTGGAATCAGAGACGTATAATCTTGCTGTATATATATATATTTTTTAAGATAAGTTTAAACTAATGTTATATCGGTTAACTTATAACAGTTCTTCAGTAAATACGCCTGCAGTGAGGCCGATATCGATGCAGTATTGCAGATGATCCATTCCGTGTCTGTTCCTGGAAACAAGCTTCCTAAAAACCACAAGGAAATGTAAGTTTTTTTGTAAATATTTAGGTATAGCACATGACCATAATGATAAATGATTAGGTTCTAAAGTATATATAATATTTAATTTATTAGTATGGTGGGGTGCCATATCTAGTGAAATTTGATATCTTGTGGGGTGCCATACTTAATAAGTTAATATTATGTATACACCCGCTAGAACAAAATTAGTTACTATTATAGTGATATGATATACGATACCTTAATAAATCGAATATTCCAGAACCCGAACACCTGTGCTACAAACACAAACCCAAACCACAGGGGCACGCAACTCGGCCCGGCATTTGAATACATTATGTTGTGTGAATACATTATGTTGTGTGAATACATTATGTTGTTCATTTACAGATGCAAGATCACAGATGAACTTATCGTTCATCATCAGAAACACATGATTTGCCCTTGTGGGTTTTTCACATTCAAGAAGGAGCAAATATGCCCTGCGTGCAGTAGGACAAATTCCGATGCTCAAAGGTATACTACACTGAATTTAGTGCACGGTAGACAATGATACTTTCATTTAAAAATCTGCTAGAATTTCGACAGCTACTGAATGGCTTAACTTGTTCGCATTTTACAAGCATGTATATGATGGACAATTTAAGTACTAAATATTAGGCCATTATTATTTTTTAATTATCCTAGATTTTTGCCCATACTCTAAGTTTTTATTTGCATTTAATGATATGGACTATGAAAGTAAGACCTTCTGCTCTATATAAGGATAGTAAAAATACTTTCCAAAATAAAAACAAAACTAACAGTAAATATGGTATTAAACCCTACTTTTTTTTCGAGAATATATCGGAAACACTGAAAGTATTTTTTTTGCCTTATCGTTATGGCTTAACAAAAACAAATACTCTCAGGAATTTGTATTGCAACATAACTATCTCCTAAACTTTCGAAAACTATTTTAGAAATGTATTCATGAATGCATGCCATTGAGAAGGATAACAAAACGAAGGGGAATCGTGTCCTAGGCTACATTCGCGTATCCCGGTTGAAACGGTACGTGTGGCGCAGAAATTTTCGACGATAAACGAACACACTTGGACCGTTCTATAAACAGAGCTAAAAATCCACAGTTTCGGAGAGAAAAAAAAAACAGTGTTTCAAGAATAGTATGACCTTCTTTCATCCGTCCACTGAATTACATAACGTAACTTAAAAACTACATGTGACTTGACATTGTTTTAGAAAGAAATAACGCAAATTGGCAATAGTCAGCATTTTAGTTTCGGTCAGGCACGTCTGGACCCCTCAATCTAAACGTGCCAAATTTTCCTGAGGTCAGCCTCGGTCCAGATCTGTACCTGTCGTTTTTACAGGTTCAACCGGTTCAACCGGTAACGCGAATGTACCCCTATCCTCCAAAATCATGATCATAAAGACGCTCGACGCTCGACGCTCCTAGAAATAAAAACTTCTCGGACATTTCCGAGAAACTCGAAAATTTTAGAAAGTCTGCAATTGGTTCAATATGTCGATTAACAGGTGATATATTTGTTCTCACTCTTATATCGGACACGTAAAATAAAAACTTACCAAAACTCTTTACAACAAATCCCGTACTAGACGTGATTTGAATTCGCGCGCTATCACGAACTTCCGGTTATCAAACTCATCATGTCCGGTTATGAAGGTAGGCTTTTATTGTGCACGGAACCTTTTTTATGAATATGTTAGCCATCTGCCACTGATGTTATTAGGACACGAGTTGCGATGGAGGTGTGTAACTCCCGTTAACGTTGATTCTTATCAAAGTCAGTCAACGATAGATGACCTGAATGTTATGGCATGAAATTTTAAGGCGGTCGCCGTTAACAATTTAGACTAAATCGACTGGGAAACAATTTCCATTAACTATACAGTAATTCAGTTGTTTTTATCTGCTTTTTGCTAACGACAAAGTCAGCATTTATTAGTCCCAAACATTCTGAATACATGTCTCTTTCAGAATATTACATAAAAAGGTAGATATTTCACTTAAAACTTGTCGCATATAAGTGAATTTTATAGATTTTTGGGGGCGAATCGTCTGACACCCCTGTATGGTATAGTGATATATAGTCTTTCGTTATGATTCAGCATTATATAAACATTGATACTTCAATCGAGGCCCAAATCAATGAGTGAACGTGACTTATTATTTTAAGGGGAGCGTACCCAATAAAGTAACTTGCATGACCTTATATTGTCAGTACGGCCTATATCAAAAATATATACCAGTAGCTACTAAACAATATTACAAATAAAATAAAACATGGTAGATTGTATGAGCTGAATACTTTATATCAAAAAACATACGCTTGAAGAGTTAGAAAATGATTAGTCTTTTTATTTTAAAAAGATAAAGGAAAGAAAGTCCTTTAATAATGGGGTTTGAAACAAATACATATAACCTAGAAATTAATAGGTCTGTTGAGATTTAGCAAATAAGCAAATCATGATCATCAACCTGTGCCTCCTTCCTCCTCAAAAAATTAAACTGTGCTATAACTTGTTGAAAATTTATATTATTTTTTTTGTTTTAGATATTACACTATTCCAATCATACCTCGGCTTCAACAGATGTTTGAAACCCCATCCTTGGCAAAACTACTTCAGGAAAACCAGGGAGGTGATAGCCTCGTCATGAATGATATTCATTCCACGCCATCATGGCGTGATTTTCAGCAGGAGATGGGAGGGGAATCAACAGTTGCAATAAGCTACTGCTCCGATGGTTTTAATCCATATCATCATCAAGCTACATCAAGAAATTACAGCATTTGGGCTCAGTCTGGAATCATTCTTAATCTACCAGTGCAGATTCGGACACAGATGAAATATGCCATGCTTTTTGGACTGATCTGTGGTATGTTTTCAAGATAATGTAGGGTGGCTTGTATACATGAAATGAAATCATCAATAGAGTTGTATATAGAAGGTAAAATACCCCCCCCCCCCCCCTGCTTGATATTGTATTATGTAAAGAAAAGTTACCTTTCGGCCAAACTTAAAATCTTCCAAGTACAAAGACTTAAAATCCAAGATACTTTAAATCCAAGATTCATGATTTTTGTCATTACCTGGTTAGCCCATTTACTGTGTCTGTTGAATTTTAAGTCCACAACATTTTGCAACCAAAACTATTTAAAATGAAAATAATTGTTTATAAAAGAAATTGGTAAAACACACAATAATGATGGTAATAGCAATGCCACCAATTGGAAAGCAACTTATCCACATCTGCTTCAGACAGGTATGCAAATGCTTTAATAAAGACAGTTTGTATGATTTTTTTCAACCTTCACCAACTTGAAGCCTAAAAAGTAATATGCATATTTCATGTGATTCTGTTAAATTTTTAATGCAGGACCCAGCACACCAGCCAATCTTAATTCTTTCAACAGAATTATTGTTGAAGAATTGTTGCTTCTGAAGGATGGTGTAATGGCCTATGATGGGTTGAGGAAGAAATTGACACTGATGAAGGGTGGCCTTATGATGCTAGTGTGTGATGTGCCTGGGGCAGCTAAGGAACAACATCGTGTGCAGCACAATGCACTGAAGGCATGCCCTCACTGTAAAGTAGAAGGTATGTGCAAAAGTAATTGTTATAACATTTGTAAGACCCATTTTACAGTCATGCCCTGTTATTTTATGTTTTAAAGTAACCTTTAAAGGGACAATTTAGTGAAGTAAGTTTTTTATAACCTAGTCACGAAATTCTATATGATTACTCCTTTAATATGAACAAGTCATGTCGAGAAAATCATCTTCAAACAGCATCTCAAACATCGTTATAAATAAGTTTAAACCTATTGATATCATACTTTCTGCAGTTTGAAAAACTCCCTGCAGCACCCTCTCAGTGCGTCTAATTAAAACTGTTTGTTTTCATTCAAATCCAAATGGGAACAGAAATATCTGATAAAAGGTATATATTATGATACTTATAATTCTTACTTGCAATGAATTGTGTAAATTCAAGAATGTGTTATGTGTGAACTATTACTTATAACTGAAACTGTGTTGCCGTCGACAGCGTAGTGCTGTACATGTTTACTTCTCACTGAAATGCCAGGATATTGCGCTATTCATGTTGTACCAATTCAATGATCACCGAAAGATGAAACTGACCACACTGGACGTTGGCTTCAGGTTGTGTTATTATCAACTAGGTAAACTTCCGATAGAAGATATATACTTTCATAATCATCGCGATATTCTGGTTGTCATTTGACTAAATAGCCCCTTTAAGTCATCTGGCAAAACAAGTGTATAAGCTTGTCACCCTACTCGTCATAAAGCACTGCGCTGCATTGATAACTTGGTACCCAAAACCCTTAGTAATAGATGGGAAATGAATAAAGTATAAATCATATACATGTAGATTAGAATTATATGAAGTTCAGCCCTGTTGAGCCTTACATAGAGGTAGGTTTAATAAAAGTTTGTACTAAATGATACTATTAAATGATGGGATTTAAATTAAAGTACATAAAATGATATTACCTCCATTTTTTAAGATGTTTGTCCTTTTGTTTAAAAAGCTGTTACAGCTGTTCTCACAAAGTATGCTATAGATTTAGATGATACTGAACTTAGTGCACAGACCCTTATATCAAGGGTACATAATGTCATAAATAAAGTACTAAATTGATCGGCATTACCTCCTGTTTTATGAAGTAATGCCCTCAGAATAATCTGAGAAAAATTTAAACCCTCAATTCTTAACACAGGCGGGGATTATTAGTCAGCCATTTTGTCAACAGATATCTTTTGTGACAAAATTCATTTTTACAAATGCTACTATGAGATCTAAGCATCTTCGTTATTGAAATATGATTCAATATCTCACTAAAATTGCAAACAATTCAGAAAGCACGTGACAAGGGTAATTTTTACTTTTCGATTCCAATGAATTTGAATGTAGTCGGCACATATATGTGTGTAAAAGATTCTGGTATTTTTTTCAATTCAATGAAATATTGATTAGCAAAAAAGCATATGTTCTTAAGTTTGGACATTTCATTTTTGTTTTTTTATTTATATATCTATTTTTTTTTTTAGGTGAGCATAGTTGCATTTTGGAGAAAGTGATTTTCCTTGGCAGTCGGAAATTTCTTCCACCAGATGACTTGTTACGAAGGGACACATCCTTTCCCTCGGGCAACATAGAGAAGGATGTTGTGTTTCCCAGAGTGGACAAGGAGGAAATGCTTGCAGCCAGGTGCCTGGACTCGATGAAAGTTCAACAGTTGTTTGGCAATGGGTAAATACAAGTGTCTCTTTCCATATTGAAAAAAACTCACAAGTTACAGTTGTAAGCAATTTGGGTCACATATTTTGCAAAATGTCATTAGTCTTTTACATTTTGTACACATCATGCATGTGTGTCTTTGTTCCTACACACTTACAAACTTCAAATTTGGAATAGTGATGTGTTGCATAATGAAATAATATCTCATGCCATACTATATAGATTTATGACCCTTTGTTCATATCAAATTATCATAAACTCTGTCACTGCAACTTAGCATCTTATAAAAGTGAAAATCGCAGAATCACATGTTTGAATTACGTTATCAATAGGAATTTTCTTTTGTGCAGAAAAGCTGTTCAGAGTCTTACTACTGGTTTCACCAAGGACACCGGTCGCCATGGAAGCCACCAGTGGTTTCGTCTTGGGTTGGACTTATCTCAACGTCATGCCCCAGTAGAACCAATGCATGCCATCAAGGTAAGGTATTAAAGTGTTATCCAGCGATAATACATGATTTTGCATGACTTTTAAACTGCACAAGAATGTTTCACAATCAAAGCAAAAACAAAAACCCATTATATTTGTTTAAAACATAAATAGGAAACGGATAGACAGTCAGATAACTTCTGTATACATAGGTACAAAACTATCAAAATTGATTTAAATCATCACATTTGATACTTTTATTGATCGGTGCAATTTAAAAAGAAAAGTTCTTGAATGAATCCATTTTCATTTTAAGGTCGTTGCGGAACATTTAGTAAGGCTACTAAATGGAACAGAGGATGGAGCAAAGGTCAGGGCAGAGGAACGAAGTCGCGGACGATTCATAGATTACTGCCCAGATTCTGTTTACAGAATGCATTCAAAGAAGGTAGGGGGGGACTTTTTACAACTTATGTCGGTGTGAGGGCTTATTTCAGATTTATGAAAAAAAAGTTGTAGGTTGTTGAATAACAAGGACTTCAATCCAAGAGTTGATTCAACAAATTCATAAAAACAAATTGGGTGGGAGATTAACAGACTTTCAATCCATCTCAAATAATATTATTACTTGATGACTTATTGAGTCAAAGACTCGTCTTACATATGGTCAAGCATGATGAAATGTAAACTATTTACAACAAAGTTACAACAATTATAAAACAATACAGAATCTGTAAGATAAGTATACATGTACGTAATATCAGTCATTACTCATAGCTAAAATAGCAGACATATACATGCATGTATGTTAAAACATTATTTTTCGTCTTTCAAACTCCCCATTTCAACATTTTCATAGAAACAGTACTAATTCCCATTATTTCCATTAGAAAGGTCAAATTATCAAATTTTATATTGTTGACTTCACACCTGGGAGTGTCACATTTTGCATGTGTTCTGCTAGTAAAGCAGCAACTACACCTTGAAGACTAAGAGTTCATAATTTTTTTTTTTTTTGTGGGTGCAGTTCTATGCACGTGAAAGACTGATTATATAAAAAGGATATATTCAGTAATATACCTTTTATTTTGGAAACACAACACATTATTAAAACCAACAATGTTTCATGTATTGGGTAGTTTCTCTGATACACACAAATTATCTTGGATGTGTTTTAGATAGCTGTTTTTATGTGTGTATTTTTTTTCCAGGCACCACCAACAGCTTCGATTTCTACAGATGTACAAGAGCAGGTACCTGAGATGCAATCACATGGACCTGGCAAGAGGTATACACAACAAAGTTTCAAATTAAAAAGTGTAACGAAGTAAGCAAGACTATAACTGTTAAGTATATGTTCTTCTTGAGAGAGAATGACTGTTGAACTATCCAGTTTATCTCATTAAAATGAGCAAGAAATTGGATGAAGCTGCAATCTTCTTATCACAATTAGTAACAACTGGGGGGTGGAGACCCAAAGTCGCTGCAAGGAAGTCAGTTACAAAGTAGCGATGGGAATCCTGGGGTGGATACCTTAATGGTATTCAACGGTGCTCATCAAGGAAAGCAGTCTCCTACATTTTTTATAGCATGTCGGCTAACCACTCTTAGAATGATGCAGATCTTATTTCAATGTAAGAAAGTATATAACACTATATGGCATTCGACGGGCGTATATTGTTCCGCCCCGCGGTACTCTTGTTCCTTTTTGATACAGATGTTTACTAGGTAGACAATTATAGATTGCAATACATATCTGGCTTTAACTTTGTTTCAAGAATTCACCTAGTAATTTCGATTTTTAGTTTTCATTTTTGGATGCAATTTTCTTTTTAGAACACGTTCATCTAAACCAGTCTTGCCTCCAGCTCCTTTTACCCTTACTAAGGAAGAGAAAGAAAAGGCAGATATGCGTCTAAAAAATGTAAAGGTGCCTGTAGACTTTGGAGACCTTCCTGCGACTCTTTTCTCAAAGACGACTGGCATGAAAAGTCACACTTGGATGAAGGTAATTCTTATAAACTTATATTTTTTTTAATTTTTTTTTTAGTTACTGTGTGCAATATGCAGCCAATTGATTTTAATGTTTTTTGTTATGAAATGATTGACACCTTAAGTAGTTATGTGTTTTCAATATCCTTTTTATTGGATTATTGTATCAGGAGTTATGCCCCTTTTCTGATATTTCATGAATCGTTTAAAAACTTTTTCTGCATTATCCAACATGATTATTCATAGATGGTAGTTAACTAAAAATTCTTGATATTAAAATCCAAGTGAACTATATCACAATAATGTGGTTTCAGTGTTCTAGAAATTATTGCAGCATACTTGTTTATATCAGAATGGTAAGTGTGATGATGATAGTGGAGGCAACAGATTATATAAAATGGTTATGTAAAAGAAGATGTTGTGAAGAAGTGAAATGATGTATTGCTCTTTTATTTGTGCTTCCACTTGATATAGGTTAAAGATACATGCATTCTCAAATGTCAAAGCACATTCTTAATTAAAAAGGCAAAGGAGGTCAGCTGTAGAAAAATTTTAATAATTTTATTAAAAGAATAATTTTCATACAAATTTGTTGTAGATTTTCACATCTGGAATCCTTCGATACATCCTGAGAGATGCTCTGGGAACCACACAGCGGCAAACGTTTTTTGAATTCCTCTCTGCATTAGAATGCCTTTACTCAAGAGAGATTGAAGTAGCAGGACTGGACCAGATGGAGGCACAGTGGCACAGAGTGCTAGCATTGATGGAAAGAGATTTTCCATGTGCATTAAAGGTTATTGATTTTAGTCAATATATTTTTATTTAAAAGATGTAAGAAATAAAGTGTATTTAGGTTTTTACACATGTTTCCATTAAATGAGATTTACAAAAAGAGCATTATTGGAATTTTTATTCCACCATCATAAATGATGGATTGTTCATATCATTATGACTTTAATTCTTCTGTTAATTCCATCATCCATCCTTGGAACATCTTAAATTTCAAGCATCTCCAGTCTTAGTTGTGTTAGCTTAGACTGATGGAGCCATCTTTTATTTTGATAGTTAAAGAATATTACCGCAAATTTTATTATCATAGATTACAGTCTGGTAATCTGGTACAGCTAATATTTTTGGTCTTTAAAGAATTATTTAACAATTTATAAAATTGACTTGCTTGTCATAACCCCCATTTTTTCGGAACTTTTTACATACAAAATGGATTCAGTAAATATAACTAATGATCTCTTAAATGCTTCAAATTCTTTACGCTGTTCCAAGGAATTCTATGTTAGTTTGAGAATAAGATATAGTTTTATGACCCTATGATGATCAGTGTCTGTACATCTCTTGATGCAGTGTTGTATGTAGATGTACACTAGGTTAGAATTCCAAAATCAAGGTCACTTAAATTGAAATAATCCATGGAAGATGTACTATATTGCCATTTCTAACCTGTTGATGGTTATTTTAATGGTAAAAGGTATGAGTTGGTTTTCACTTGCAAACAGCATGACAAAAACATCTAACAGCCACAACTGCTTCTGAATAACCTATAGCTTTGGGGGTACAATTTCAGTTGTACAAATCTGCTTTCATTCATATGATTACTCTGTATTATAGGAATATATGCTGCTGTGCTCACAGCAAAGCCTTCTCTAATCTATTAGTTTTCAAACTGTTTTAATTATGTTTCTCTTAATCATTTTTTATCCCCTTTGCATTTATATATCTATCTCTGCCACCCCACCTCCAATATTCCTTATACTTTTAGTAAGATTTGTTTTCAATTTCTTTACACAGGGTACTGTTATGCATCTGATGCACCACTTGCCCCGCTACATAAGGATGTTTGGCCCTGTTAGCAATTTTTGGATGTTTCCCTTCGAGAGGATGAATTCAACCTTCAGCAAGGCAATAGCAGGTGCCAGATATCCTGAGCTGGCAGCTATCAAACACATGGAAGTGAGTATACAAAAAAGGGCAATTTTTGTATCATATAATGATGTGTATATATATGACTTGTTTTTTTTATCTGAATTTCATATCAACAATAATGGATGTGGTTTTCTTACTTGGCTAACTTGTCCAAATATTGGTGTGTTTTTTTATTGTAATTATGTGCCATCATATTTACGTTGGTATAAGATTGTTATACATCAATATTTGTATACATAATTGACATTGATATACAGCAAAGCAATGTCGAGGAGTCTCACTGGAATACATTTTGTGGCTATTACACTTGCTTTCTAATTGATTGTCATCTCAAATGACTGAAATCTTGTCCCCCTTCTAAAACATACTTTGAAAATACTGCTACATGTACTTACTTTAAGCAATTGTATAATCTTTTTGGGATTTTTCAGAAGCTAAACTTTGTTTTTCAGGATTGCGCATTTGTTATGCTATGCCACAAGTGATAAATTAATTGTTACATACATTAATTGTTACCTTATGTAACATTCATATGTGACTTTGCTTTAGTTCTTAATTGAGTGTGTGAACATACACATTCATAGTTATTTTGATGTGGGAGTGAGTAGTAATAGTAGTATGAGATAGCCTGTGTATGATTTAGTTCAATACTTTTTTCAGATCCAGTGGATGTTAACCATCTTGAGAGCTGCTGGCTACCTTGGGGATGTTCGAAACATCCACAACCCGGAGTCCTCACTTGCCGGTGGGAGGAGTAGGAGTCATACACTGACAGATGAAGAGTATGGCCACCTATACGACATGTTTGAAGAGATGGGAATAACTTGGGGTACAAACAGATGCATCACAATGCATCAACATGCCAAGAGATTTGTATCCAAAGAAGGAAGCATGGTCACCTACAGAGGTTCCTTCTTGGACTGCAGCACAGCAACAAACTGTTCAATTGTTAGCTGCAGCACCAATGCAGGGAAGACTGTTGTTGGCCATGCAATGTTCTTCTTCAACCATATCAACAATTTAGGGCAGCAAAACATCATTGCCAGTGTTGATTGGGTTGGATTTGCCAGAGAGGACAAGCCATCAAAATGCCTTCAAGTGCTGGAGGAGGAAGGACCTGTCCATAGATGCTTTGTTCCTTTGGACTCGCTGTCTTCACCCCTTGTGCATGCCTGGGAGGACAGTGTTTTGTGGATTCCCAGCCTGTAAACCCACCTTCACAGGCCTAGGGTGTCCATTTACTGTAGCTACGATACGAATCGCAGTACGATGCTTTCAAAACAAATATCTGAAATTTATGTATATCACTGTTCTATTTGAATTCAGTTGTAAATAATATATTGTTATTAAGTATTTTATCGAATACAAATATTGAACTCTATACATTATAATGTCTTAGTTTTCTTTCACACTGATGATGATATTATTCTTTGGAACCTTATGCGAGTTAAATAAAAATCAGAACTTTTTACCTGTATATACAGTTATAATATCTCTAGTATATATATGATACAAACTATAATTACCCTCCCTTTGATGTTTTTACATATTGTCCTAAAGATGTATGTGTTCAGCGTATCCGGTTAAAATACAGGCCTTAGTGAAAACAGACCCACCCTACATATAGTATATTCTGTATATAGTACTGAAAGTACTACAATTGCAAAATACAATTACATAACTTGATATTATATCATAAAGTTACATGCGCTTTCAAGAAATAAAGAAATGTACATGTACAGATAAAAATATAATTGTGTTTTGTGTTTTCATTGATAGTTAACCCTCCCCAGTCTCAAAAAACTTTGCAATGGCAGTGTTTAATTTAATTTAATTATTTACATTTTATTCTGTGTCAATCGTATTGACAGTCCATCCTGTAGATGTGGACATAATATGGAGGACGCTAAACCATTTCATTTTTTATTGCCAATGTATGATGTACAAAGAAATAAAATGTTTTAACACTTGATATAGTTAACCAATATATCATGAGAAAGCCTTTTGTTTGGTGATATTTTTTAGATATAAAATCAAACAAATTTATTTGTAAGCATGTTCAAAAAATTATTTGTTGATAGTAAACGGCTTGCGTTAATACAAATTATAATTGCACTTATAATTAAATTATGTTGAAAAATGCCTTCTAAGAAAGATCTAAATTTAACATACAAATATTCGATGACGAGTAATGGCCGACGTAATTTGCATTTCGGAAGTCCTCTAACGATATCGTAGGCCGATGTGATGAAATCGAAGTCATCCAAACAGACTACCCGACACGGGTGCGTTTCGGTATGAGAAAGAGGCAGTTTCCAAATGCAGTATGTAGTATAATCTAATCTAATTCCGTGGTATTAGTCCTAGTTTGCAATTGGTCGTTTATCATGCCTTTCATGTGGCCTTCGAAGCGTGGCACAAAGCGTAACCCGTATCACACATGGGCTTGAATGGAATGTTACGGTAAAAGGACGCGTTTTATGTAAAGAAAAAGGCTATAATATAAGGATTAACTTTATTAACTTTCTAATTAGTTTAGGTTATCGGGTGATACCTACAATGGAACTCGGGTAAATTAATTAATCTTTATTGGCTTCGCCGATTATTAATTCACCCGATAACCTACGCTACATAGAACGCTAAACCTTATAGATATTCTATATAATTAAAAAACCAAAATATGAATAAAATACATTTATGTTAAATACAATAGAAATTAAAAGCTTAGAGGACAGGTGCTCGGGAATCCCCTTACTAAGAGGATTATATAAATCACAAAACTATTAACAACATTAAAAACGATTGAAAGGTACATGAAGCAAAGTAGGAACGTAAACTGTCGTAACACATATATACAGGCGTCACCGGCCGACAATGTAACGCAAGATTTTCGGCATTCAGTGGTTCGTTTATGAACATTTACACAATCGGTTCATCATTTGCACGAATTGGTCAATAAATACTAGACAATTAGCAACTCGGTCCGAACGGAGCCGGGGGATATAATTTACGTAATATAAGTCGTATACGACATCGGGACGTTCTTATCGTTCGTTATAAAATATCGTTAATATTGAGAGTTCATATTGTGTCTTTGATTATTATATAAGTGCTCAGAGACGTTTATACTGGCTTTATGTGTCTCTGGAGTGTTGTATCAAAGCACCAGTTCAGCAATACGGTAAAAGATATACATCATTCTCAAATGGTAGTTCATTTCGATCCTTACCCGGGCCGTAGTACAAAATAAGCATTATTTCCGTGGTCTTTATTTATTTCATTCGAAATAGATATACGTGTACTATCGACCGGTGTTATTATATCGTTTTGATTACGGAATTAGAGCGGCCGTGTTTGCATAGCTATACCGACAACACGGCCAGCAAGGCAGGGACTATAGACTGCCTCACCTGTAGGGGCTTCGCCGGAGCGCGGCTACATCAAAGGGAATACCGCTGTGCGAGTGAGCGGGACAACGACTTAATTTTCGGGCGCCAACGACCAGTTTTCGGGAACAAAGGCACAATCTTATTGAATTGTTATGTTCCTGAAAATTGGTTGTTGTCCCTGAAAATTGGTTGTTGTTCCTGAAAACTGGTCCATGTCCCGATAACTTGGATATGGTTTTTAAATTTAAATGGTGCTCCGCTAATTT